GTTAAAGTGGATTTGTTGCACCAGAGGGTTTTAATCTACTTTAATAATGCAAACCTAAATTTCTGGCATAAGATTGGATTCCTCCTGTGGTGGTTCCTTAAGAATTCCTGGGAGGAATGCCAGCTCTTTGATAAGGTATATCTTCTCAACAAACAGCCAGACAAAAGGCAATGATGGGAGACCAAGGGAAGGCTGAGTCCTCATAGGTTTCCTCGAGTCCTATATGGTATGAAATGACTTTTGCAATGAAGGGAGATAAGTACGCTTGGCAGCTGTCCTGGAGCCATAACTAACTGAGTATAAAAATAACAAAGACGGAGAAGAATTAGGGAACATTGGGAAGGAGGTGGGAAAGGGAACCAAACTATCTAGGAGTGGAACAATCCAGGCTGATCTGATGCTAGGCTGATGAAGACCAGGAATGAACAGACTAGAATCAAACACTAAGATTTAGAAGTCGCTAACTCTTAGGGGTTTACCATGAGTTTGAGGCTGCTTGAGTCCAACATGTTCACGTGATATTTCCCTCATCCAGAACCCATCTCTTTCCCTGTAAATTCAGATTTCCCCAACCCTGGAAAAACCTGAAGAGCAAAGCAAAATTCAAACCCAATTCACTGCTACCCAGCTGCTAATCTCTGTTGTCTGAATTTCTTCAGTTAAGGAGGCACTAGGCAATCTTAAGGAAGGGGTGGGAGTGTAATCCAGAGTTGGTGTTTGTTCACAGAGTGGAAGTGAAAGGCGGACCTTCTCTATCCTTGCACACTTTCAGCCACTTTCTGAAGACTGCCGAAGGGATTCATATAATAATATTACCAGGGGGTGGGGGAAAGCATGGCTTTGTTTTTGATAGAGGAAGGAAGTTTGTGGGGCCATCTTAATATTTGCCAGTGCATTGGACCTCAGAATGCCCACAGGAAGCAGTGGTTTTCTTAGGACTTAAAGGAGCAACATCCAATTGGCTGTTTGTTTTGCAAAACTATGGACTGAGCTGTGGATTGAACTTGGGATCCTACCCTTGGGTGAGCCTGCCCATACAGGTTAGGTTACCTGAGGGAGGCACTTCCCATAGAGGAAGACATATCTGGAGTTCAAGTAGGATATAAATTTACCGGTACTCACTTTAGGTAATTGATGCAAAGGTATGTGTGGTCCTAATCTTGATGGGGAGCAGTGGATGTTCAAGTCCCTGTAATGTGTTTACTAACACCCTTCCATCAGATGTCAAGGAGACAAGTACCTATACAACCTTTAGAAGGCATCTGAAGGCAGACCTGTTTAGGGAAGTTTTTAATGTTTAATGTTTTATTATATTTTTGTATATGCTGGAAGCAGCCCAGAGTGGCTGGGTGTCAAGGCTCTGTCCAGGCTTCAGGAAAGCCATTCCTCCCCCAGTTGCAGCAAGAGCAGGGAAAACAAGGTAGAGTCCTTTTTAATGAGTTTTATACAATCCTAACAGCAAGAGACAAAAGAACGCAACAAGCCTTAACAACGGCGTTGCTCCAAACTGGGGCTCCACCTCCCTTCCTTCCTAGCAACAGCACTTCCCTTATGGTGGCCACCCATGATCAGTTGCCATTGATTACGTTGTTCCTGCACCCTTAATGAACGCTGAGTTCTGGGGGAAGGGGGATCTGAAATACTTTCCAGCGACAACATGTCAACTGGTTCCCCTTCCACATTTTCCTCCCCGCCCCTTTTTCTAACACTTGTCAACTCTTCTGTTCACCTGTCTCTGAGCTATGACTTCCTTCACACTCCTCAAAGCCCTGCTGTAATTCAATACTGCATTCCTCTCCTTCTGCAGCGTCAGGGGGAGGGGGGGTTGATCTCCACCATTCCTCCCCCTCCCTCTCATCCTCTTCAGTCCAGTCCCTGACACTGGGGCAACCCAGTTAGATGGGTGGGGTATAATAATAATAATAATAATAATAACCACCAGTGTTTGGCAGGGCCTCTTTCCTCAGGCATGGAACATCTTCCAGCAGGACTCTTGAATAAATTGGATTAGGATGCGCCTTGGATGTCTTAATTAGGTTAAACCCCTCGCAGAGAGGAAGGCATTTGGAATTTCTGGAGGTCTCACACTACTTCTCACAACTAGTGAGAGTCAGTCCTATTGATTAAGATAAATAGAGGGTGGTGCTGTGGGTTAAACCACAGAGCTTGCTGATCAGAAGATCAGTGGTTTGAATCACCTCGACGGGGTGAGCTCCCGTTGCTCGGTCCCTTCTCCTGCCAACCTAGCAGTTCGAAAGCATGAAGTGCAAGTAGATAAATAGGTACTGCTCCAGCAGGAAGGTAAACGGTGTTTCTGTGCGCTGCTCTGGTTCACCAGAAGCAGCTTAGTGATGCTGGCCACATGACCTGGAAGCTGTACGCCGACTTCCTTGGCCAGTAAAGTGAGATGAGCGCCGCAACCCCAGAGTCATTCGCGACTGGACCTAATGGTCAGGGGTCCCTTTACCTTTACCTAAGAACACATTACAACTTTTTTGTCTTGTATGCCCAGGTTTTTGTCTTGCATACTTTCCCAGACAACCTAGAGACAGCATGGACTCGAAGGCACTCAGTGCATACTTGCACAGACAGCAAGGCTGTGTTCCTCTGCAGCAGACGAGATGAAATAGAAGGGTAACTATTGTCTGGTAGGAATGGCCAAACAAACTCAGATGCTCCAGTGCTTAGCTAAGACTGTTTACTGCTACAAAGTGTATTGGAAATCCAGGGCAAAGTTTAGAATGATGCTATTCATCTTCTTATTCTAGCTTATCTCTTGGCCAAGTTCACCACCTGAGATGATGATAACAACTGCCTGGAAGCGATGTGTAGATTACTGACTCACAGCGCTGCAAAGCTACTGTGAAGTGCTTAAAGTAGGCAGAGAAGGCAAAAAAGCAGTTTGATGTGAAAGTCCTACTGCTGCTGTTATATATAAAAAAAGGAGTAAGACACAGCTATTGGACTGAACAGAAAGGGGCCAGGGAAGTTGCTTGTAAGTGTAGCAGAAGATGAATGTGAAGAATTGCAGTTACATGGACTTCAGGGTTGGGGGTGAGGATGGACAAGGCGTGGGTCAGGACTGGGGAACATGAGAGCCTCCAGGTGTTGGATTCCAAGGCCCATCAGTGCTGGCCAGGACGGTCATTGGTTAGGGATAATGGGACTCCAACAACATCTGGCAGGCCTTAGACATGCCAACAGAGCTCATCAGATCCCAGCCACAGATCAGATAGGCTTCACTTTAGCCTCCTATGTCTGCCTCCCAAGCAAAAAACAAGAGAGATTTATATATATTTTATTTTCAAAACAAAATGCAATTTATTGGAATATACGACAAATAGTATTGTGGCTCTACAAAGGCTCTCTCTCTCTCTCTCTCTCTCTCTCTCTCTCTCTCTCTGTGTGTGTGTGTGTGTGTGTGTGTTAGAGAGTACTTCATCAGATGCATGGCAAAATAGGTTCTAGTAGATAAAAGCTGTTAACACAATAAATAAAATTAAATGTTTTTAAGGCATCACAAAAATCTTTTCTCTTTTTTTGCTATAAAGCACTCCCTTGGATTGGTTTTGTTTAGAAAATGTTGACAAACTTTGGGAAAAGAAAAAAACCCCACACAATAATGATTGTGTAATAGAATTCTAGAATTGACCCAGGAGCTATCCATCTCCATTTCTGTCTCTAAACATGGCATGATCCTATGCTGTCATTTGGAGCTTCATCCCTAAATAGTAGGAATTTCAGGGTCAAATGTCAGCCACAATGGCACCATGCATTCAAAGGACTGTGGTATCACTTTAAACAACCCTGGCTTTCTCCAAAGCATTCTGGGAGCTTGAGGTTATTATGGCTGCTGAGAGTTGTTAGGAGACCCCTATTCCCCTCCTGGAGATATGGTTCCCAGAATTCCCTGTGAAAAAGGCTTGGTAGAGAAACAGGCAGTAGTACAGAAAAGTCCAAAACCCCCTAACATCTCTCTCTGACAACTGGTATCAAACTTCTGTTAATCATCTCCCCTTGCACACCCTCTTCCAGGTAAATGTTAGTTTCAGTGCCCTACCCTGCAAGACAGTGTGATTCCAACTGCCCAGTTTGTGATTTTATTATTTTCAATGACAGTGTATTTTGTTATTAATTCTGGTTTCTTTTGGGTAACCTGTCCTCAGCTTAAAAAGTAGAGATAATAATAATATCAAAGCCTAACTGAATTGTTGCAGACTGTTCATTTGTACATTCTGTTCCCATTTAATGCTAACTTTTTGTTGTTGTTGTTGTTGTTGTTGCTTTTACTTTCTCTTAACACCCCATAAACAAATCAGAAGAAATGCTCCATAAAGGGCAGGCAGAGTCTAACCACTACATAAGTTTTGTGCAAGCAAAACACTCTCAAGCAGCCGGTTGTGTATGTTGATGGGGAGTTGTATAATTCGCAACTAATAACATGATGGATTAGCTCATGACATTTGGGCAACCATATTCCACATTACTATTACAATTAGGACTGCATGGATGAAGTATCATGTTATCTCAAGCACAAAATGCTTGCCCCAAACAGAAAGTCAACTTGAGAGGATGCATGGATCTGATTTTGCAGGAAGGCCCAGGAAAATTCCTTCCTTCCTTCTTTCTCCCATTGTTGATCCTTATGGAGGCGATAACACTGTATTATATCTGTAAGGAGGCTCACATAGGCCTTATCCTAGAAAAGTTGCTTGGAGGGGGTTGTGAGACCTAATGGGCTAGCTAGCCTCCAGACTCCCACAATAGCTGTGTATTTGATGTATATCAGATGCACACACAGAGAGCACCACGGGACTCTGGCCCAATCAGGAAGAGCTCTAGACACATACATTGGTATGTGCCTAGAACACCTTTCAACATATGTCAGAAGCAGGTGTTGGGGGAGCATGGTTGCCACCATAACAGTGGCTAGCCCTCATGGTCCTGCAGTTCCCTCTATGTGTGGGGAGGATCTTATGAGGTGCCCCACACATATGCATTTAAGACTGAGACTTTTTAATGCGCTCATTTGTTTGTCCCTGACAATTCTTAGACATGTCTGCATTTGGTAGCTCTCTCTTTCCAGGAATGTTCCCAATAGCACACTTCAGGCCTGCCTGAATCTTTCTGTTGGTTAGGATAATCAACATGGGACTTATAGCTGAGTAGCAGGAGTCAAAAAACATGCGGGCATCTGCAAACCTCAGTGAGACTGGGGATACACAAAGGTTGACCATCCAGAAGACACTGTCCAGTCCAAAGCTGAGAAGGTACATGGCCAGCAGGCCCATGACTGATTTTGCTGCTCGGATCTCTGAATGCTTCAGCTGTAGCATGGGCAAGCGGCTCATCAGTTTCCCATGCTGCCAAAAAACAAAGAGGAGGTATCCACTTGAGAGGCTCATCAACCCCAGGAAGAAAATGTCTCGAGTGACAAATACCACTCCATTTCCAAAGTACAAGAGTTGGTTAGGAAACACCACACAGCAGAAGTCATACACTACCGTGATCTCTTCCTCGGTGCAGTTGGTACCGGTGCGAGGCAGGGAGTAAAGCAAACGGGTACAGCAGACCAGGAGGTTGAAGCACCAAAGGGAAATCATGATGGAAGGGAGTTTTGCAAGGATGCTGTGCCTTAGCCGCAAGCATCTGAGAGGACATGGAGCAATGAGGAGGCACTGGAAGCAGCCCAGCATGGAAGTTAAGAAGATGCTCATGGCTCTGCTCACACAATAGATGTAGAGGGTGATGCCACAGGTCAAATTATCATGCATGGTGTGGATGCCAAATGCTTGCAAGGTGAGTGGGACACCCCTGGTCAGGATCACCAGGAGGTTGGCCAGTGCAAGTTTGCCCAGGATGATTTCACTGGGTGTGAAGTTTTGCCGGCAGGTGGCTTTGAGGAAGGCATAGAGGATGGCTAGATTTCCTGGGATCCCTATCATGTCGAGAGAAATGAAACCAAGCATGTTCACGACGAACCAGACTTGCATCGCGGCGTAACCCTGCTGGGAGGAAGGTTGCTCGCTCTGTGTATTCTACAAGACAAAAGTGTTGAAAAGTAGCAGAGAATTGGTTCCCCCCCACCAGCAGTCAACAAAGCCATATGTAAATTAAATTAAGTTCCTTTTTTGTTGATTGGAACACACACACACACAGCCCACTCATGTATTTATTTAGGAGTGCATCCATGTAAGCCCTTCTGTTTGCAAAATTATTGCATGCTGGAAAACTGAAAAGTTGCTTAAGATGCTGAATTCTAAGATAGGGGGAAAAGTTATTCTGCAAGCAGACATTCCTGCTTGAAAAAGTGAGAGGCCTTTCAGAGGCAGCACGGTGTAGTAATCAGAATGTTGGCCTAGAACCAGCAAGAACCTCCACTCAGGCATTGCTAAGTGTTCCTTATGACATCTGTTTGGCAACCACAATGAATGGGGCCTTTAGCACCTAGATTTGTATATTAGGCAGACATCCTCATGTGTTTCATTTTGGATTTATCTTCTTCCGATCTTTGCATTTTAATTTTACATTGAATTCTTGTGCACCATTCTGAGAAGATTCCTCCCTTCCCTGCCACTTGATTTAGCAGTATCCAAGTTGTGCCCACCCTGTGGAATGCCCTCCTGTCAGATGTCAAAGAGATAAACAATCTTTTCGTAGACATCTGAAGGCAGCCCTGTTTTGGGAAGCTTTTAATGTTTCATGTTTCGTTGGGTTCCTTTGTATTTTGTTGGAAACATCCCAGAGTGGCTGGGGCAACCCAGTCAGATGTATGGGATACAAGAAACAGATTGATATTAATAATGATTTTTATTATTTTTATTATCAATAATGATTTAATAATAATAATAATAGAAGCTCACTGAATGAGGTTGGGCCAGTCATTAACTTTTCTAACTTCCTGAATCATTGTCAGGATAAAACAGGAGAAGCATTTATATCTCCCTAAGCTCCCAAGAGCAAGAGTGTGATTAACAATGCCATAAATAACAAACAAGCATGCAGGCCTTAATTTCAAGTGATATATATCGCAATCATATCTTTGGAGGCATTGTTCCAACTGATAACCTTTCTGTACTGTTAAAAACTGGTGATTTCTTTCAAGCCTGTATCAGCCCCCTTTTCACCCGTTTGAGTTTGCTTTGGCCTTAATATGCTAGATTAAAATGTTTCTGCCTCTGTAGGATGTTATAGACTCAGTGTGATGGAATCACTTTGTAGTCTTTTTCCTTGCATAAATGACATAAGCTTTCCACTCATGTCCCTAGATGTGTTCTTCTCAGTTACACTGCCAAATTCTGACAAGGGTATCTGCACAGGAGACGGCTTTCATTTCATGCTGGCTGATAACCATTTCTGTTTGACATCTACTTGGCAGCCTTTCAAAGACAGTTTGGTGATACGGTTGCAGCCAATGCTAAAAATGTGTGAAAGTAGGTGGGTAATTAGATCTTATAAGAACTGAAAACTTTAATGATTATGTCTGGAATACAGTTTGGATCAAAGTGGATGGAGATGTCTATAGAAATGAAAAAAGAAAAGGGGGTGGAGGGGAAAGAAGCTGGAACAAATAGAAGGGGGGTGGGGAATCTTGCCATAACTTCAGGGAAAACAAAGCCATGCTTTTGTTTCATATTTTCAAAGGGACGTGAAAATTGTATACAAGTCCCTAGACTGCCCTAAATCAAGGGTGTTCACAAAACAAATGTTGTTGTCACAGGTTTGCTTATGCTTCTATGGCTATCAGCATCCATTGCGAAAGGCAACAGGGCACCTAAAAGGGAGCAATTGTATGCACTGGTTAATTTCCAAATTTAGGATGGTATCCAACTAAATAGTTGCACAAGCAGAAGAACTTCAACTTGTGCAATGGGACTTTCCCCCACTTCACTTGCCTGTGCATGTCCTACACCCTCCCTAAATCTGCTTTGGATGAGAGGAAACCCCAGAACATTTAAGGGGCATGCAAGGGAATGAGAGGGGGGAAATATCATGGCTCAAGTAAAAATTGTTCTGCTCATGCAAGGATTTGCTTGGTGCTACTTTGGAAACAACGTAGAGAGGTTACTGAGGACTTTCTGTTGGATCCACCTTGCATTACCAAGTCATATATTGATTGGGAAAATGCTCTAACTTCTATAGAACTATAGAAACAGGAAACATAGAATGCGTACATTTTTTAAATAAACAAGATTTTTGTAGTGCAAGAGAATCCCATGCCAGTCATGGACCCAGACTAGCAGCACAATCCTAAAATGTTGACTCAGAAAGTCCTGTTCCTAGGCAATATATTGTGTGTATACATCCACTCACATACTAGTGAATATAGCAATAGCTGGAAGATGTAAATTGGTATTGCTAAATGGAAAGACAAACTATATTACTCAGACTAATATCTGACTACATCCGTGTCCAGAACAGACTTAAAATAGTATTTATGGAGTTTAAGATACTGAAGCTGCAGATAATCTCATTATGGAACTAGCTAACTAATGGGAAGATGTATGACCCATAAACCAGTAAGTGAAAACTGCTTGGATTTTTGCTCACTAAAGTAAGCAGCAGCAAAATAGCTTAAATCCGGCTTGGAAATCTGTTTTAACAGAAATGGATTGCTTTTACAATGCAATCCTTTATGTGTCTAATACTCTGAGGTGCACGTGTATAGGACTGTAGCCACAAAGCATCTTTCAGCCTTGAAGTTCAAAGATCATTTACATCAATCCCCACCAATTTGCTAGTCTCTAACATGAAATTCAATAATGGATCAGCACCGAAAAATACCTGTAGCAACAGCTGAGGATAAGTTGTCTTCCTGTTGTTATTTCTAAGCTCCCACGCTGGAAACTGAAGCAGGTAAATTTGCCATTGTGATGCAGCTGGGAGGGAAAACACTATTGCTTGGAAGGGTGGAAGGAAAAATTACGCGTCTCATAGTACACAAGTACACTGGAAAGAACCAACCCACAATGGGATCTGCAAAAACAAGCCAACAAACATCTCTTCCCCTCTGAAATAATGGAAGACAATGGTGTAAACCAGAGATAGCCAAGCTTTTGACATTCAGCTTCTTATGCAAGATGTCTCGAGAGGAAACCAAGTCTGAGTTTTTCCAATGCAAATCCTCACTTTCCCATGCTACTGTTGTCAGCCTCTCAGAAGCCGCAGCAGTAGCACAGCAGATACCAGCCCACACTAATTAATGAGGAGCTGGGCAGGCACAGCATGTGCACAGCCACTTCACCAGGCTCCTTACAGGGTTGCAAGATTGAAGGCTGGAAGTCCTGCCTGCTCGCTATCTATCCCTCCCACCCCATAGTTCTTCATTGTCTTTCCTGCTGCTTGCTGAAGTGAGAAGCAGGTTTGCTGTTCAAAGGACCAGAGGCCAGCCACTGAACTCTGGGTGCAAAAAGCTAAAAGGAATCGGAAGAAGTGGGCAGCTGTTAACCACTGGACCTGGTAGGTCCAGGGCAAGGAAGTCACTGGTTGGCTCCATTTTCTTCCACATCCGCTCCCCTTGAAAAGATACGGTGGATACTTAAGCATTAGTCATATGCACAGTAGTGCAATCGCTTGGAATCTAACAGAACTTTTCACTTTACCACAGGGAAGAAAAGCAGGCATCCCCCTACTTATGTGAGGGTTACATTCCAGGCCCCTCATGCCTAAGTGAATGTGGGGAGCACCCTCTAAAAAGCCTCTAAATGTCCATTCTGCTCCCCTCTCCAGCTCTCTCTCTGCACAACTGTCTCTGCAACTAGAGCTCTGGGGCCAGCAGAAGGTTGGCGGATGAGCAGAAAAGTGGCAGCAGCTGCTGCACTGCCCCACATGCCAGCTGCTTAGGCAGGGAGGCAAAGCAGCTTAAACAAAGCTCTGCTGCACCTCAGGTTTCTTTGGGGCTTCCTTCACCCTCACTGACATCCTCTTCGGGCTTTGGGGAGGGTCTCCTCACTAGCCACAAGGATTCTCCAAGCTCTATCCCGACATTTCCTAGCATGATTCTATTTATTTATTTATTTCCTGGTGCTACATGTATATGTGGTCACATGTGAGTAGAATGCAAAGGATGCCTGTATGCTACCTTGAACTCCTGAAATAAAGGTGAGATAAGATTGCAATGAACAATTAAAAGGAGTCATGCTTAGTTCAGCTTCTGCCAGGAAACAGAGGTTGCAATCTTCCAACTCTAGTTACTATATTGCTACCTACTTTTCCACAACCCACCTTTCATCCCAACACCAGTGTCCTTTGAAATGACCTGCCTGCAGCATTTGAGGGGGAAATGCAACTAAAAAAAAATAAAAAAAATAGGGAGAAGACTTTTACAGCGGTTACATTCTAAATGGATATGCAAGGTGCAATTTCCCAGTTATTGTCTTGTTCTTTGTTCTACAGCAGAAAAAGCACAGCAGAACCTCCTGCCCTTGGATATAAGGCCTGTGGAACCTTAATTACTTGGTTCTGGTAAGCAGAAAAACTGAGCTGAATGTTCTACTGACATGAAGCCCCATGGTAATAAAGTCCTCGTCTTCTTCTCTGTATGACCGCATAGCAAATAGTACTGTTTAATTTGCAAGTAGCTGGTTTTGTGAGTTGCTGGTTTTGTTTTGTTTTTAAATCTGCAGCTCCTTTACCTAATTTCGCTATACAGTGGTTTCTTTTGCTAGAACAATGAACGACTAAAAGTAACTTTAGGCAGTTAACTTTACCAAGAGATTTTCATGTTCATTTTAACCTTAGCCAATTAGTTTCCATGGGCTGACAATCATTAATTAAAAACTGCCAAGGGATCATGTAATTGGCTCCTAATAAACACATGCTGCTAATTCAGCTACTTGATGCATTTATTTACAGCTTAATTGGGTATCAAAGTCTCCAATCCTCTGTCCCCTTACATGGAAGTAAATCAATTGACCTCAAAGGTACTTACTTTTGATCAGGCATGTAAAGGTTTTTAAAATAAGTAGGAATGGGTGAATCTATCAATTCCAGTTTTCTCAGTTTCTTGTTTTTCCAATCTAAACAAGAAATTCCCCCACTTTTACATACTAAGTTTGCAACTTTATTCATGTTTGGTGGGAATGTCCCCATGTTAAAAACATTTGGAATAGAGCATTCTCCATTGTATCTACAATTACAAGCCAACCTCTTTCTCCAAATCTTGCCTTAGCCCTCCTATCTTTGGACATAGATTTGGGCTCACCCCTGCAGAACAGTAGGTTTCTTACTGACCACAGCATGACCAGCGATATCTCAGCAATGAAAGAACCAGACTGAAATACCCCTGAGCATATGAGAAATTAATATCTGGGATACAGCAATGTCTGTGCATCTCACCAGATGCAGAAGAGCAATTGAAGGCATAATGAAAAGAAGTACCTGTCAAGAAACGGGGACCCCTTGCTTTAACTATGTTAATGATCAAATTCAAGACCTTTTTATACCAACCGCTCATCTTCTCAGTTTATGTCTGCTTTCTTTATATCCTCAGGTCAATGTCAGGCTTTCAGCATTACATTATTGTTTACAAGAGTGCCTAAGAGTCACCAACCAGAGCCAGGTCCTAAATAGTGTCTGATGAGGTAGAACCCATCCTTGCATTTAAGCACTAGCCTGGTAACTATAAGTGACATGCAGGTGAGGGAGCGAGCAGTTGTAGGAAATATGGAGGGCTCCATCCTCTATGCACCAAACATAGAAATTGGAGAACTGCTAGAGGAACATTATTTGCTGTTGTCCCCCCCCCCCCGCTCCCCAGCGTCCAGTGGTGATGATGTAAGCTAGTAACTTTTGTGAGGCTTAGTTACAATACTGATGGAATGAATTAATCACCATCACCCTGGGAGCCGAATAGTGGAGGGATCTAGATAAACAAGTACAAATTACATCAGAGTTACTACAGTTGGGGGTCATAAAGCTTTGCCAATCCACTACAAATCTACTGAATCCACTACAAATCTACTGCCAGTCCACTACAAATCTACTGATTTACTTTTTGCACAATCCCTGCATTGGAAACGGAGCATGATCTGTGTCAAACTTCAAAACTGATTTGGTTTTATCTGGCTTGATGAGATATCTGGAGACATGATGAGTATGATAGTTCTGCTCTTCCTCCACATTACTGCAGTAATGGTTCTGAATGCCAGTTGCTGGAAACCACATGAGGAGAAAGTGCTCCTGTGCTCAGGCCCTCCTTGTGAGTTTCCTACTGGCATCTGGTTGGCCACTGTGAGAACAGGATGCTGGAATAGATGGGCCCTTGGCCTGATCCAGCAGGCTCACCATATGTTTTTATCTTGGATCACTCAGATAAAATATGGAATACAAACATTTCCCACCATGTGTTTCCTTTTATTCATAAGCCCAGACAATATTGCATCCCATTCTATCAGCTGTTGCTTTATCCTCTTGCTCAAGTCACGTATTTCCCAAGTCGATTATTTCAAATGCTCAAAGTAAGCTCTAATAGGAGGTGGCAGCCAATTAGGAGCCTAAAAGAGATTTTCATCAGCTACTGGAAAATTAAATACCATAATTATTTAGCTTTAGCTGCCTACATACTCAAGGGGTTAATTATGCGCCTGTAAAGAAACAACATTTGTTTTGCCCGGCTTGGGGAGTTAAAAGGGTCACACAATGGGAATATGGCCTGCAGTTGTGTTTGTTAGATTTTTAAAAAGTGAGGCCATGGAGCTTTAAGGCAAGACCAGAGTCTTGGCACTTCAAAATTTGCCTCTACGCCACTGCTGCTACACATTCATCAGAAGGGTTAACTCTTAACACAACGTATGTACATACAATCCTGTGCCTATAGGCTCTATATGTAGAACTGTTTACGCACACATTTCCTGAAGGTATGAAAAAGTAAGAAGTAAGTTCCACAGAAATTAATGGCATGTGCAAAATGCAGTGGAGATATGCACATTCCCCACGGTCTGTTGGAGATTGTGTATATTGACCAGAGAATGTTCACAATCCCCTCTTCATTGACAGAGTATGTGAACTAACCTGGTGAAAGGCCAGTTGTTGAGCATATAGCAATGACTCAACTTACAGTACCCTAACACACACCCATATTTTATATATAATAGTATTATAGAAAATCACGCAGAATATTTTGTGTGTGTGTATATATATTATATACCAAGTGCAACAGTATGATATATATTTTTTCCTTTTGCCTGTCATTGCTATTAGTTCCCAGTGACCCAGCACCTATTCTTGCAACTTCTGTTGCAATAATTTTAGGGATAAGACACATGATGCAGAAATAAATTCTGAGGTAAAGAAAGGCATGTTTTCAATTTTATTTGGGGACCAGGTTGATGAGTTAGCCTCTGAGCCCCTACCTCATACAGTTGCTGTAAGGATGGGGGTGGGGGTGGGGAAGGACTGCACGCTCCTAAGAAAAACAAACATCATGGTTTTTCAGTGGATATAGATAATCCTGCTCATAAGACATTGTGTTCGTGTTAAGAATCAACAACTCCAGAGGATGATAAAGCAAACCTGAGCGTGTGTAAGTCTGGTCTCATTCATATGAGTTCATTAATTCATGCTAAGAGTGACATATAATGCAATAAGATCCTTTTGCCGTTATATGGCAACAGCAGAGGAGCTTAACTGCTGCAGCTACTGGAGCCTATCCCTCTTTTTTATGCCTTTCACATCACAGGATATTCAAGGAAAAAACAGTGGAGTTGTTTTGCTGAACTGTTGCCACACAACTCACTGCTGGGGTTGATGAGAAAATGAACAAAGGATTACATTGGAGACCTTGCACGGTCTTGTGCAATTGTTCCAGATATACTTTGGCAGAAGATTGGCTCAAGGGAAGATATTTTGCAAAACAATTTGAACAAAGTCATTATGATGGACGGAACAACACATACCGTAGCGGCTTTTGTCAGCATGTAAGGCTCGCAGGTATGAGAGGGGCTCAACAAGCCACAGAAGATACAACCCTTTGCTGCAGACTTCGCCTTTGCCAGGTTTGAACAGATACTAGACCTGAAACAAATGTAGAAAAACAAGATGGGATCTGAAATGGCAAATGTGATGTGAATTTTGTCACCTAACCCTAAAACCCAACTAACAGAAGAGAGTCATTTATCTGTTTGTTAGCTTCTAGTGGCTGTAAATAGTACTCTGGGCCCAGAGACATCTGAGGTGATGGGCAAGCTTTAAATCAATAAAACTATCAAATTAAATCCTAGCTTGTGGGGGCGGGACTTTGGATAGGGAGCCTTCCTTACCCGGGTGAGCAGGCCTCTGCACTGAGCACCTGGGGGCAGATTATGATGTTTTCTTGGCAAATCTCTAAGATGTGTGAAGAGCAAAGACTAGTTGTAGTTTGGGGATCTATTTTTCTTTTTTCCTTTTTAACCAGGCAGAGGGCTTTCTCGGCAGTGGTGCCCTCCCTGTAGAACACCCTCCCATCAGATCTCAGGAAGCTAAAGAATTACACTTTTAGAAAACATCTGAAGGCAAAGTTTTTAATCAGAGAAGTTTTTAATGTCTGACACCCCCCCCCATATTTTTCTGCAAGCCACCCAGAGTGGCTGGGGAAACCTAGCCAGATGGGTAGGGTATAAACAATATTATTATTATTATTATTATTATTATTAATAATATCTCCTTACTGGCAAAGTGGGGGCACTTGTTTTGCATTAGTGATTGTGAACCACCAGGGCAAATCACTCTTGCAAAATGCTGCATCAAGGAACCCACTTTTTGGAGTGCATACCCTCCCAAGGTCAGATTAAAAAAAAATAAATTAACATCATGAAAATTCAAAATGAGAAAATATGATCTCTCAGATAAGCAGGTCCTCTGCTGTTTGGGGCTTCGTATTTCAACAGTTAAACCCAAAACTTGTCCCAGTAGTTAATTGGGAGCCAGTACACACCCCTTAAGGATGGTGCTGGGAATAGGGCTGCTCCTAAGAGCAGCTTAGTTGTGGCACAATATATGTATAAATAAACAATTTAAAGACGTTTAACATAGGAATATGCTTACACTGAGTTAGACCCATTGGTGCATCTAGCTCAGTATTACTGACTGGCAGACGCTGCCTAGCATTTTCAGATGGGGGTCTTTCTTGGTCCTACCTGGAAACGCCCAGGACTGAACCTGGGACCTTCTGTATGGAACCCTGATGCTCTGCTAATGAAATACAGCCCTTCTCCTGACCGATAGTGTAAACACAACCTGCATATTCTCACTTTGTCTTTTCCCGAAAATCTCACAGAAAAGAGGTACTGGCAGTAATGGTGATCATTGGAAAACAGATTGCCCTGCGTTCCTGAGTAGAAAGGGTCAAGCCTTCTTCAGAAGTCGGAGTGGTGGAAGCAAAGCAAATGTGCTCCCCTGTAAAAATTACCTGTGAACCATGAGGATCTCTCTGAAGGGAATACTATAACATAAGTCAGGCACACACTTGAAAATATCTCCCAAATCAGTGCTTGATTAATTGGGCATTTTATTAGCTGAACAAAGTTTTAGGCACTATTAAAACAAAAAGGGAATAGAAAAATAATTACAGGACCAAACACCAACAGAGAATACTAATGAAGGATTTAAAATGCAATTTAGGATTTAATCAATTCCTTTACAACCTGACAGATAATTAATTAAGCCTTAAAACAGATGTCCCAAAAGCATGAACCGAATCTCGGGCCCTATTTATCTGTCACATCCACTCAGTGGCGTGATAGTTTCTTGGCATTACCAGGTTCCAGTGACCTTCGAGCAGCTGAGATTTCTTAGTCAGTTGCTCCCTCCCTTGGCCTCAAAGGAAATTGCAAGTCCCCATTGGAACCTAATGTTGTTTCTCACTTGCAAGCAGCACAATTCCAGAAGGTGCATCAGATGAGACGCTGCTGTTATTTACAGAGAAGAATGTGGTGCAGCTACACTGTTCACAAAAGTGTGCAAGAACTGATGCCACAGTGATGATAGTGTAGGCTTGGCAGCACACTAAAGATTCACAAGTACAGCCTGTGATTTTATGTGACTGCCAGCATCAGAAATAAAAATTCAGTTTCAGGGCAGTGTATAACAGTTGGCAGGTTAAAAAAAAGGGGGACCTCACTATTGGATTTTTGTGAGTGGTGCTGGTGGAGAGCATTTACTCCAATTTTCCCCGGTGGGCAACTGCCAAAAAAATAACACCGCCTCTACAATAATGATGCATAATGATGAGAGGAAATCTGTTTAAAAGACTGTTTTAAAACAATGCTGTTACAGCCAATGACACTGGTGCTAAACTTTGATTTAAAGGTAGTAACAATAGCATTGCTCCTGCAATTTCCTGGTTTACTAAATCATCATTTCACAAATGAAGACAGAGCCGTGCTGGTAAGTCTCGAATACCAATGCCAACTTCAGGGCCTATGCTTCCTCACGCTCCTCAAGTATCCATTCCTATAGACTCTGCTTTAACTGGTGCATTTACAAATGGAAGCGGCCTTGTTTTGAGTCATTTGACTGATCCACCTAGGTCAGTATGGTTGACATTGACTGGCGATGACTCTCCAGGGTTTCAGACAGGAATCTTTCCCCAACTCAGTACCCTGCGGGTGCTGGTGTGATGGCCTGGGAATCCGATTCAGAGGCTGAACTGGAGGAATCCCAGCCTGCACAGGAGTCCCCGCCTCCAGGGCCGGCTGAACTGGGGCAGGGCCTTGTTTCTGAAGTGCCTGCACCTGTGCTGGATCCTCAGGAGCAGGCACCAGGTGAATCCACTCTGGCTCCGGAGGTGGTTGAGGACACAGTGCCTGCAGGTGCACCTCTCCCAGCCCTGTCAGGGGAAAGTGAGTCTCCCCCTGGGTCCAGTAACCCTCCAGCCTCTCCTGAGCTGCAGAGGCTCGGGCAGAGAGGAGGAGGGAACTGGTTTCTCCCAGGAGGAGTGCTCGCCTTAAGGCCAGGAGAGGCGGGTCTCCTGGGGGCCGGGACCGCCCCTGGCCTCAGAGAACATAAAGGCCACTCAGCCCGGTCCCAGGTTGCGGGAGCAATGTCATTGAAGAGCTGTTTCGGCCAGCATCCAGTCCTGCTCCCTAGAGTTCCTGTCCTTGCCCGGCTCCTCGCTGTGGACCCCGCTTCGCCCGTGGAGGACTGTCTGCAACCCTCGACTCAGGTCCTGGACCTCGCCCCACAGTAACCTCCCCCCTGGACCAGCACAGCTGGGTATTAAACATGGGAGCTTTTGCATGTGATGCATGTGCTGTACCACTAATCTATTGCTCTTTTTTGTTTGTTTGTTTTAACTCTATAATGAATTGACCCACCGTGGTTTCAGATCCAAGAGAGTGTGTGCTCTTTGGGCTAAAGAGGATATACTTAGAAAAACATAATTGTACTGCAATATGTTATATCGTATCAGTTCAAAATGAGGCTTCCCAACTTGTGAGATGGCAGTCTGTGCATTGCCACCCTAATGCCTTAGGGTGCGTTAGGGGCAAGATGCAACCAATGCTCCACTAGAAGATTTAACTTCTAAAGACCCTGGTTAAAGGGTCATTCTCTAAAGAATGAGCAGAACCCCCCCTTTCTGAATGCAGTAAGGCTGGATTACTGTTAAGTTGTGGGTGAACATATCAGACGACACAGCAATTCTTCAGACAGCTCTTGTTTATTCACAGGCCAGAACAGAACTGAGCTGAAGGGTTCAGCCAACCTGCTTATATAGAGCTCAACTACAAGGCAACAGTAACAACTTTCTGTAACTATCCAATCACTGAACGTCACTTTCAATTCCTTATTTGCATATGTGGACCTGAGTGAAAACTATCTACAGTATCCCCCTGCTGGCCCAGGGTGAGAACTTCAGTACATAACAATTACCACATTTTGAAGTAAGCTACAGTATGTAGCAGACGTTACCATCTAGAGCAGTGGTGGTCAACCTTTTTATACCAATCAATGCCCACTAATGCATCTTTCTTTATGGTAAAATTTCCTTACCGCCCACCAGTGCTCGATGGAAGGAAGATTCAGCTTGTGCTGTAGAACCTCCTACCGCCCACCTAGAATCCTGAAATGCCCACTAGTGGGCAGTAGAGACTAGGTTGACGACCCCTGATCTAGAGAGTCCTCTGCCCAAAAGACCATTAAGCCTAGAGCCTAAAATTACCTGACTGCACTACTGCCTCCAGTCTGGTGTTTGGGGTATAATCAGTGGAAATTAGGATCTATTCTCTTGCCTCCCACTTATGGCTATTACTGCGGTTGCCAATAACCGTTATAGCTTTTGGGTAGCAAAACCATGCAGCAACTCTTTAAAAATGGAGGATCGCACCACTGACCTTCAGCACTGGCAATTGAAAGAGATGGATCAACCCAATGGGGGCATTGCATTGAACTGCACAGAGTTCAGTACTCAGAGGTTGGCTGAGTATGGGTATCCGTTGTTCATGGCTCTTGTCCAATCAGTACACCCAACCAAACATGGGAGGGGTTTGCAATTTTGGGGGAATTGTTTCCTTCTCTCCACATATTTTCACTGTGTCCTTTAAGAATCATTCCTCTTAATAACTAAAGCATTGCTGCATTGCAGATACTCTTATTGTAACTGTCAATGCTCCTAGCACTCCTCCGCCCCCAATTCTGCGGTATTTGCTATTGACTTGAGTAGGATGTGAACTGAACCCCAAGTGCACAATTCAAACTGATGTAGGGGTTTTATTTTGTAGAAACCAAAAAGAGAAGAAATGGTTTCTTCCGTTACAGTAGAATATAAATATTTAATGTGTTAAATATTAAATGTAATAAAGTAGAGGAATACCTAAAGGTGCCCCATTTCATCATTTACGTTAATGATGTTTTAATTTTAGTGATTTCTCATTGCAAATATATTGTATAGAGAATCGTTTTCTTACTACATGTGGCTTGATTCAGGCTGCTTGCTGGCAGTTAGCATGTCTGCTTGGGTTCAATAAATATTTATCTATCTTTAAAAAGATCTTGTCATACTGTATTTTAAAAGGCCTCCAAAAATAGAAAAAGTCTGA